GACTTTGCAACTGTAAATGTTAGCAGCTGTGGGGCCCAAGGAGCTGGGTGACAGTAAAGAAGAAATCCACAAGGAGCTGTGCTGGGTGAGAACCAGGCCTCCAGAGACCACGTTCATATCTAGAGATATGAATGCCCAAGGTGTCAGGAGACTCGGCTTAGAATTTGGGCTGGTACCTGCCCCACAACCCAAAAAAACCAGGATGGAAGGAAAAGTCACACCTTTTAGAGTTAGGACCTAAGAAAACATGCAGACTGAGAAACCAGGGTCTATAAGCAACTGCCTGGGTTCTTTTGCTGGAATGCTCACCCTAACCAGATGTAGTGGTGCACGCCTTTAGTCCCAGCACTCGGGAGGCAGAGTTGATCTCTGAGTTCAAAGCCAGCCTGGTGTACACAGTGAGATCCAAGACAGCCAGGGCTACACAGAGAAACTTTGTCATGAAAGACAAAACAAAACAAAACAATCAATAAATAATAAAAAGAGTTATCATCCTATTCATGACAGCATTGACCTAATGACCTAATCACTTCCTAAAGGCCCCACCTCCAAAGACCACCATGGAAGGGGGTAGAATTTCAATGTGTGGCTGTTGGGGACACAAATATTCAGACCCTAGCAGCTGGGTTCAAGGTTGGTGTCCTAGTTAGCTTTTAACTCAGCCTAGAGTCATCTGAGAGAAAAGCCTCAATTGCAAAAAGAATCGCCTAGATCACTTTGGCCATGTCGGTGAAGGATTGTCCTGATTGCAACTTGATACAGGAAGAAGGCCCAGCCCACTGTGGGTGGTACCGTTCCCTAGGCAGGTCATCCAGGCCTGTATAAGAAGACTATCCAGTCATGAGCTAGCAAGCAAGCGGCATTCCTCCGTTGTTTCAGATTCAGCGCCTGCTCGTGTTCACACCCTGTCTTTCTTCAATGATGGATTTTGACGTGGCAGTGTAAGCCAAATAAATGCTTTCTCCCGTAAGTTGCTTCCATCGGCGCTATTTTATTACAGCCACCGGGGGAGGGGGGGGGACACAAGAAGAGTCAGTGAAGGAAAGTCGGCAAGCAGGCCTGTGTCAGCAATGATGCCCAAAGGGTCGCTGTGGAGAAGGTGGAGACATTGGTCTCCATCTTCTTAGAGAATAGTCTCAGAACATGGCTGGCATAGAGGATCAAGATGCGGCGCCGGGCTGGCAGGCAAGCCTTGTCCTGGGACTCTTGCACATTTTGTGTCTGATAGAGGACCCTTCTGAGTTTGAAATGCCCCTGGGAAATGCCCTTGCCTTTGATCTGTGGGGCTAAAAGGCAGATCTGGAGATGGGGAAACCTCCAGAGACCCAGCATTGTTATGTACCGGCTAGAATAGGGACTCCCTGAACCAGGGAAAGGAAAATCACCACGAGGTCCCTCAGGCCTCAGCTATTCTGCCCCTGCCTTGAAAGGAGATGGATGGGGTCAGTAGTCCAGCGCGATTCCCGTGGACACTGACGCACACCCCAGCAGCGTGAAGGAGCCTGAGGGATCTGAATGGTGTCTGGCTGTGCCCTTGCTTCGTGGTAAGCACCGGGGAGGTTTCAACATTCTCCATTTGCCTAACAGCAAGTCGCTCTAAGAGTTGGTGCTTTGACCAAAAGCCAGCACCAATGCATCAGTGTGGCAATGACCTTTGTGACTGAGCTCCTGAGAGGTTAGTGCAGCTGCTCGGGGCAAGGCTCCTATTCCCTGCTCATTCCGGCACTGAAGGAGCGAATGTGTTTATCATTTCCCTTTTTACTTATTTAGTTCCGGTCGTTTTATTTTGTCATCTTTCTGTTTTGAGACAGGATTTTGCTCTGAAGCCCAGGCTGGCCTTTAACTCCTGGTGCTCCTCCAACTCGGTCCCCCATGGTGCTGGGATTACAGAGCTCACTCACCATGACATTCGGCTTTTGTTGTATTGTTGAGACTGAGTCAAATGTAGCTCAGGCTCCCCTAAAATTATCAGTGTAGCTGAGGCTAGCTTTGGTTGATATATTCCCCACCCTCAGTGACCTTGTTTTGAAACTGGATTATGTTTAACTTGTTTGTTGTTTGATGTCCTGGAACTCACTCTATAAACCAGGCTGGACTCAACTCATAGAAATCTGCATGCCTCTGCCTCTTGAGTGCTGGCTCAAACTGTCTGGCGTGAAACAGGATTTTATTCTATAATTACTTCTATAATTACCATAGTTCAGGCTAGCCTGAAACTTACCGTGTAGCCCAGTCTTGAACTTACCTTCTACCTCATTACCTGAGTGCTGAGGTTATGGGCACGAGCTGCCACATCTGGTTTAAGTTTTGAAATATTCTATTAATTTATTGTGTGTATGTGCATTCACACACATATGCATATGTGTGGGAGGCACACATACTATAGGACTTGTGTGGATGTCAGAGGACAACTTTCTGAAGTCGATTTTCTCCTACCAAGTGGGTCCTGGGAATTGAACTCAGGCCCTCAGGGTTGGAAGCACCCACTTCCATCTGATGAGCCATGTTTCTGCTTCCAGTTTTAATCTGTAGTTCACTTTGATAATAGATGTAAGGGACTAGAGAGGGATTTGTCATTTAAAAACACAGAATTCCAAATCCTTGTCTCTTTACAAGGAATTACTGGTTGGGAAATTAGGGGATGTTCGAACACATGAGTCTGTTCGGTCTGCTCACCTCATCGGCCGAGGGCAGTAGATCAGGGTTTCTGAGGGTTCACAGTGTTTCCCTTGGGATTGGCATCATTTGACAGCGTCCACAAAGTCCCCTGTGTAGAGATTTGGCCATGCTGTGTAACTACATGGGAGATGCTGGGGCTTTGAGTCCTCACCCTTAGTGGGCGGGGTTTAGTGGAGACATGCCCTGGGAGCAGGTAACGGGATGCTCCTGCCATGATGTCTCCTTCCAGAGCAGGGACAGGTGACTGTGGACTGAAATTCTCAAGTGATGAGTCAACATGAACCCTTCTTATAAACTGGCTTCCCTTAGGTTTTTGTCACAGTGACAGAAACCCGAGTAACAGAAACTCTTTGGGGATGTGACGAGATTGTGAGAGGCACCCAGGAGAGAGCAGAATCGCAGGGGAGCCGCCCTGATTGGTATATTCCACGCTTCCCTAGTACAGAAACTCTGCTTCCAAATGAAAACAAGACTTATCTAAATGTCACCGCTCTACGCCCCATCTGGACTCCTGAACACAAGCTGCCTCAGTTCTGAGTCAGATGTCAGCACCCACTGAAAAGTCTCCTGCATCCAACTTGGCTGGCAGTGGGGTCTCAGCCCCGTGGGAGAGACCCACACCTCTCCCCCAGCCAAGCGGCCCTATGTGACTGGCATTATTAATTCTGAGACAGAAAGAGGGTGCGGAGGGTAGAGGCAGGAGTCCTTTCTCCACAGATCATCTGGCCCTGCGGAGGACAAGTAGTGGCAACAGGAACTAACAGTCCACTTGTTGAAGAACACAGCAAGAGCTGCCGCCTCGGTGAAGCTTCCAGAAGGAAGCCTGGGAGACTGGCATCCCAGTGTAGTAGTCGATAGGCTGAAACAGTGTTCACTGAATACAACATGTGTGGTGGGGTGTTGGGGGGACACAACTTGCCTGAGCCAGTACTGAGCAGAGAGGCCCAGTGAGTCCTGCAGAGGTCAGTCTTGGGGGAAAGCATCCAGATTCCTTCAAGATGCACTGACGTCCTGTTTAGCTCCCACCATGAGCCTCCTCAGAGGGATGGAACAAAAAAGCCAGGGGGAAGCCAGGGGGATGAGGCCATATGAGCATAAGGGCCAGAATTTGGATTTCCCGTACCCACTCAAACACTGAGTGGGCATGGTAGCCTGTCCGCAAGCCCAGCGTTTAGGGAGTAGGAACGAGGGTCCTTGGGGGGAGTTAGTGTGTTAGACTAGCCCTGTGGTGACTCTGGACTGGGCTGAGAGAGCCCGACAATGAAAAGATTGAAAGCAATGGAGGAAGATCCCTATCCAGTCTTCGGCCTCTATATGCAAACATACATACATGCATGCACATCCCACGTATCCAGCCACACACATTCACATGTATGTGAGCCACATGCACACATACATGAGTGTGCATGCGCAGGTGTGCGCGCGCACACACACACACCCGGAGCCTCAGGAAAAGGGCATCAGAATGGACTGAAGGCAAGAACTTCGTGGCTATAAATAACCCATCACTTTGGGTGAACTGGTCTTCAAGATCACAATAGCTCTCAGCCTCCTGAATTAGATTGCGCTTATGAAATTGTGTACACGGTCAAAAATTTTTCAAAACATGGACTTCCATTCCACGAAGTATTCCCCAAGGAACGGGAAGCCATGGGAAATTCTTCCAAGAGGGAACAAATGTTGGTTTCCAGAATTTAAAACGATTTCCCAGTATGTGGCTGCCTAGATGGTAACAATTGCTGATATTTTGGCAGAGCTGTCATGAAAAGCTGTCGCGCTACAAGCCAAAAGACCTTTAGGAATCCACATTCCACATTTAAAAGCACAAGACAACATCTGCATAAGCACATTGTGTTCTGGTTAACGGGCGAAGAGAGATGGACGTTTATTGAACTTCGACATTGAGCTTTGCCCACCTTGCCATCCTCCACGATAACCCGCACAGTGCAGACTGCCACCACTTCCGCTAAGGGGCAGAAGTGAGGCTCCCCACAGCTGCTTGCCTGAGGTCACGTGGGAGCAAACGGCAGTCCTTGCACGGCTTTCCTAGGTCCTGAAGGACCCATTTGGGACACTTTCCTGCTAGAGCAGCTTTTATAGTTAACTGTTGATCACTACAAAGAGCTAAGAGGGGAGTGAGTCTTTGACAAGGATAGAAAAGACAGAGCCCGTCACATATGGAGGCATTTCCAAAACACAAGCTCATCATCAATCAGAGACTCCCATGCATGCGGAACGCTTCCCTTCTGTGTCACACTTTGCCGATTGAAATGAGCTTCAACTGCACCCCGCATCCACAATTCCCCCGTGGTTCTCAGTTCTCAGACCACGGTCTCGATGGAGATGGCGTTACCATTGCCCTCCTGGCGTCTGGGCTGCGTTTCATCCTTGAAAGCCCTGGTCAGAACCACTTTCAGCGACTCCCTGAAGCGCTTTTTCTTGCTGCTGCCCACGAAGAAGTAGATGAACGGGTTGGCACTGCTGTTGACGGTGGAGAACAGCAGGGAGATGTTATGCAGGTTCCCAAAGACTGACCAGTACTCATAGTACAGCAGGTAGAGGACCCGCATGGGCACGGCGAAGATGAGGAAGACGATGATGGTGACCGTGATGACGATGTACAGCTTTGACGAGTGGGAGGCCCACGCGTTCTTCCGTATCTTCACCACCAGGATGGTGCTGGACACTAGCATGAGCGGCGTGAAGACCAGGAAACTGAGGACGGCTATAAAGATGATGACCGCCCGGCAGTCGCTGTGGGACCGACTCTCTTCCCCGCTGTCGATGCACATGACGTACTCCATGGTGGTCACCAGGCACGAGAGCACCCACAGGAGGACGCAGACGAGCGCCGACTGGTGTTTGGGGCGGTGGCATCTGTACCAAATTGGGTAGAGGACGGACAGGCACCTCTCCACACTGATGGCCGTCAGCAGATAGAGGCCCGTGTTGTAGCCAAATAGAAACGTCACCGATAATGTAACGATTGTGTAGTAATGGCCAGAAGAGAGTTCGTAGTCCAAGGCATAGTCGATGGACAGGATGAAAATACAGAACAGGAGCGAGATGTCAGCAATGGACAAGTGGGTGATGTAGACGGTAAAAGGGTTCCTCCTCATCCGGAAGCAGAGGAACCAGAGGAGAATCCCATTCTCCACAAAGCCCAGGGGGGAGATGCTCATAATGACCCAGTGCACTATGGGAATGGGCGGGTGCGAGCTCCCCAGGGAGGAGGCATTCCTGCTGGAGGTGTTCATGGCTTTCTCCTCAGCAAGGGATGTCATATTTGACTGGCCCATGAGGAGGCTGTGGGCTGAGCCACTTCGGGCAATTTCCTGTAAATAAGTCAAACACACACATACACACAGAGAAATAAAATAAAACAGAAGAGAGACAGTCAGCTGTGAATCATAACCTTGACGTTATGGCTAGGAAGTTCAGAAGCTGGAGAGATGGCTCCGTGGCGAAGAGCACTTGCTGCTCTTGCAGAGGACCCAGGTTCCATACCCAGTCCCCCCACATAGCAGCTCCTGAACAACCTATAACTCCAGGATCCAACACCCTCTTCTGACCAAGGATGCCTGGCATATAGAACACAAACATACCATGCAGGCAAATAAATAAATAAATAAATAAAAGTAAATATATAAACCGCTCATACACACAAAAATAAAGCCAGACATAAGCTGGGGAGTGTGTAAACTCAGACATACGCTGGGGAGTGTGTAAACTCAGACATACACTGGGGAGTGTGTAAACTCAGACATACGCTGGGGAGTGTGTAAACTCAGACATACGCTGGGGAGTGTGTAAAGCCAGACATAAGCTGGGGAGTGTGTAAAGACAGACATAAGCTAGGTGCTTAAGGAAGGTGGCAGGGACATCATACTAAGACAAGGTTCACACAGCCGGGACCCTCTAGACCTTGAAGGCAATCAGCTCTTGGCTTCTCACCTGAGAAACAGGACTGTCCAGTTTGACTGTAATGGTGGTGTGAAAGGGACCCCCACCTCCATGCTCCCCCCCTTCCGAGGTCCTCACTGGGCCCCTAGTTCACAGCCTGCCCCTCCACACCCTGAGAAGCCAGGTCCCACACTCTCCTTTCATGAGCCGGGGTGTCTTCCCATCCAGCTTTCCCCCGAAGCTTCAAGCTACATTCCCAAGAGCAGTGGGAAAGCTGTTGGGACACGTTAGGCCCAGTTGGATCCGTCTTTTTAAAATCAGACCGACCTTCGCCAGTTCTACAGTTGGAGATTCAGTTTCATGATGATGGGACAGGCTTTCTCCATTTTCTTCAAGATTTAACTGTTAAGTCGTTGTAGAGGCTGTTAAAAAAAAAAAAAAAAAAAAAAAAAGAGCCTCTGCGTAGTTTTGTTGGGGAGAAAGGACTGAATCTAATTCAATTTGGTGAGTGGAATGAAGGAGAGCATGCCAAAAACAGTCAAGCTCACAGCAAGACATAGCTTTATACGGTTTTCAGGGAGGCCTTACATCACTGGGTCATGGAAGGTCAATGTCATGAAAGGTCAATGGGAGTTCACGTGCTGAAGAAGGCGAAGAAAGACATTTTAAGAAAAGAGAACACCGTGGACAGGGACATGCATAAAGGCAGGAGGTATAGAATGTCCCTGCAAGCTGGACACCATGGCTTCTATCTGTGATCCTGGCAGTCAGGGAGCTGTTTCAGGAAGATCATTACAAATTCAAGGCTAGCCTGGTCTACATAGTGGGCTCCAGGCTAGCCAGGACTATGTAGTAAGACCCTGTCTCCACCCCAGCTCTACAATAAGAATGGCTTTGATCAGCTGGGCATGGCGGTACACGCCTTTCACCCTAGCACTTGGGAGGCAGAGGCAGAGGGATCTCTGTGATCTTCCTGGAGATAAAAGTACTCCCGTTTGCCCAGGGCGTCTCAAGGAGTGGACACAGTTTTTTCTCAGGGTTAGAATAAAACCCTTGAATCACATAGTCAGACTTATTTTGATCATGGGGTTTTTAAGGCAAATAGTTAAATTATGAAAACGAATCTCATTAAAAAACAACAAATACAATCCTTCCATTGTTTTGTTTAGTGAGTTTTTACTTAAACGAACACATTGCTAAAGATAAATAAACAAATAAGTCCCCAACGTTACTCCAACTGTCCAGGAGCTGTTTGGAAGGTCTGGGGGACCAGCTGGCCCTGTATACTCACCAGGCTAATCCCATTCCCCTCAAGGCTCCTGGCTCTCTTATCTATTACGCATCTTCTGGGAGTAGGGAGGGTATTTGAGGGTGGGAAGGGCAGGAGAGTAGAGCCCTAGTTGTTGCTCATTGACAAAACAGTCTAGCTTGGGATTTACTGTAGCCACAGTGATGCTTTCCCTACAGCCACAAACACCCTGTGGTTGAGCCCCCTGCCTGGCAGGATGAGTGGTCTGGAGCCATTCCCTGTCCTTCAGGTAGACCGAGTTCTAGGACTGCAGGCTTTCTGTCCAGACACGCAAATCCCCTTGCTATGGAGTAACTATAGCTGTGGGCTGCACGTTTACCTGGCAGTAACGGTCCGAGGAGAAAGACGGCGCATCCCATCAGGGTTAGGCGGTGGGAACAGAGTTCAAAAGGACTGGAGCAGGTGGTGGCAGCGTTCGTCAGTGGCATGGGCAGCATCACAGAGCATCCTTCCCTCCTTGATGTTCCTCACAGAAGCACCTCCTGGGGACAATGAAGTTTACCGGGACATCAGGGTGCAGCTGCTAGCGTCCAAAGAACCCTTCCTCGCTGCCTAACTACGGGCCCTATCCCCAGTGTGGGAGGCTGGGAAGGAAGCCATCGCCTCTCCCATTTAATAGGGAAGAAAATTAAGGATTAATTCCAAGCTTGGAGCCTCTTGCAAGTCACAACCCCACCGGGGCTCTGCCACCTACAATTGCTTCGTGGTAGCTGGCATTCTCTGGGCAGCCTGAAAATGCTCAAGGGTCCTCCTCCAAGAGCTGGCCAGGTCTGCCAGCTGCCGCCAACCAACAGCCGAGCCCATTTCCCACTCATCAGAGAATAAAGTCTGGAGACCACTGGTTTAACCAAGCCTCTCACTTCGCAGACAAACGGAAGCCAGAGAGACCGGGAGTGAACCTGCACACACAGCTGGTGCTGTGCTGAGCCCTGGCAGCCAGGAGCCCCAACCTTGCCCTTGCCCCTACCTCAGGGCTCACCCACTGCAGAAGTCTTCCTAAGCTTGCATTTTCCACTTTAGCTTGTCACTAACCTCCTATTTGAGGACTTGAAGGCACCATGCTCCCTGACTGAGCAGAGAGTTTGCTCTCAAATTCTGACCTCATCTGGGGTGGGTCCAGGATTCCCGTGCCCTCCCCACAGTAAAGTCTATTGTGACTCTCATATTTGTCATCACAGAGACAGGAGGATTACTACAAGTTGGAGGTCAGCCCGGTTTACATAGAGCGCTCTATGAAAGTCATGAAAAGGCAGAGTGGCCCTTGGGGACAGACCAAATCAGTCCTCCCTGTGTAAAAGGGCCACAGAAATGCCACCCTAATGTGCTCCTCTGTAAGGTGCTTAGTTGTGACACAAAGTAGGGGGATTTTAATTTATATTACCTTTCAGTCCAATTACAAAAAGTATGTCCTCACTGCAGAATATTTGGAATTTTCACATGTAAGACCAGTACCCAAACTCAACCTTAACAATTGGAATAGTCCCTTATCTTTTTTTTTTAATGTCTCAAACACTGAAAATTTTATTTTAAATTTGGATCAATTTAAGATAAGGATTGGCAGGCTTGAGAGAAGGCTCAGGGGTTAAGAGCACTGGCTGTTCTTCCACAGGTCCTGAGTTCAATTCCCAGCAACCACATGGTGGCTCACAACCATCCGTCGAGATCTGGTGCCCTCTGCTGGCCGGCAGGTGTAGATGCAGGCGGAACACTGTAAACATAATTTTTTAAAAGAAAAATTAAAGAGATGTAGTGGGATATTCACTTTGTCTCCTTCTGTGGCACCGACCACACCCATTGGGGTGGAGCCAGGGGCGGGAGCAACCGGTGGAACTAGGTCTGAGGAGGAGGCAGGGGATGCTCTCTTACTGGCGGGACTCAGAGAGGAGAGCATCTGGTGGAACTTGGTGGTGTTCATATCGTATATTTTCTCACTTGATAGCATATTATTTTTTTCTCCTGTCAGGGTATTCTCTAAAATGTACTTATTTTCAACTAGTCCTCAAGCCTTCAACATATCAATTGCTTTTGATACTTCATTATTTTAAAAACACATATATGCTCATAGTCACAATTGTATACTTACACTTACAATCACATTTATAAAATATGTATGTGCACACACAAATACATCTATACGAGCATCTCCCAAGCACACCATGTCTATAACATCCTTCTGTGACAGTAAGGTACCTAGGCACCTGTCATTCGCCTGTGTGCAAACGACCCACCTAGGCGCCCTTCCGCTGTGATTAGACAGCCCACACTGTGCCCTCCCTTAGCATGGGCTCCATGTCCCCTTTACGTCCCACATAGATGTCCTGCTGTGGTGCATGCTGCTGACATCGTGTCAAGGTCTCATTCCTATGACCTCTCCCTGCTGGGCTGTATCCCCTGCTCAAGCAGACACTACCCGCCTCGGGCCAGACAGGCCAGCCGCAAGGATGCTTAGCACCACCCGCCTGCCTGTAGGAGTTAAAGCAACTGTAGACATCAATAGTGCATCTGAGTGTGAGAGGTTGTTGTTTTTCTCAAAGTCAGTAGAGGTCATATTACATCACTGGACCGTCACAGATTGGTCTTAGAGTCTGGGGTCTTCCCCCCCCCCCCCGGCATTCCGCAGCTCTCTGCTGATATGAATCTCCTGCTGAACTGTTTCTTTTTCCGAGACACAGACACCCCTACACAAGTTGTCAGAGTGTTTTGGTTAGGTTTTTGTTTTGGTTTTAAGATTTTATTTTTCAACCCCTACAGCTAGGGCTCACAAACGTCAAATAAAACCAGACACCAGAAAGGTTGTAAGAGCCAAAGATCCAGGATGTCTATGTCAAGATAGTGTCTTCTATATATGCCAGGGAGGTCGCACCCATGAAGTGTCAAAATGCGGCAGCCAAAAAGATCTGGAAAATGACATCACCAGTTGACAAGCAAGCATAGATGGAGAAGTGTCACGAGACCTCACCAACAGATGAGAAGCTACAGATTATTGATGGTTGCTGAGAAAGGGATGTGCCCCTGATAATTAGCCCATCACAAGTGATTAGCCTTAAACACATATACATACAAGCAACGCTAAAGGGACTCTCAAGGCTGTATTTATAAATTTACACATATACGTGTATATGTGTTAACAATAATAATTAAAGAAGAAGAGGCCATG